TGGAGTGTCACCTGAGGGCTGCCACCTGAGGGTACAGACCACGGCACATCCTGTGACTAAGGTACAGGGTGGGCTTGTCTGGAGGCTCCTATTGTGGTGGTGAGTAGTTAGAACAAGCGGGGGCAGACTTACTCACTGTCCAAGGACGAGCTGACAGTAGGGGCAGCCACGGGGAAGAAACAGAAAGACAACTCATCTGTGAGTGTGGTGGGGAGAGTTGAGACACATTTTACATAATCCAAATCTGATACAGAAGTTTCTAATATCTGTTCATGCCATTCTCATAGTGGCCAGCTGCTGTGCTACGTAATAGAGGTCTTCATTTTTTCCTGACCATATTTATGTATGACCATATTTATGTTTATTTTGGGGATAATTACAGCAAAATGGCAAAGGTAGTCCAGAGCGATCCCATGTACCCCCATCCTATTCACCCCGTTGTTAACGTCTTTCATTGCTATAGTTTGTCAAGAAAACAGCCATGGCCTTTAACTAAACTTTAGACTTTATTTTGATTTCACCTGTTTCCCATCAATGTCTCCTTTCTGTTCCAGGATCCAGGCTAAGGTCCACATTGCACCAAGTTGTCATATCTCCTTGGTCTCCCCTTTCTGTGGCAGAGTCAGTCTTCCCTTGTTCTTCATAACTTGGACAGTTTTAGGGGTACTGGTTGGATAGTTCATAGAAAGTTTCTGAATTTGGGGTGTGTGTGTGACCTTTTTCTTACACGGGGTTATGGATGTATGGAATGAAGACCACAGGTGTGAGTGCTTTTCCATCACACCATATTGGGGGGTACATGACACCCACATAACACCCCCAGGATGAGATCCTCTATCACCTACTTACTGGGATGTGTAAGTGAATTTTGATTACCTGTGGTTGGCCCTACGGGGTCTTGATATTTTTATATGGTTTTCTGGGCTGTCAATTCTATTCTTACTCATGGAAAGGACATGGGTACATGACTCACACACCCCCTCCTGTCCCACTGATGGCAGGGCAGGCCCTATTAGTCTTCCTTTCTCTTCTTACACCCGTTCCCTTTCCATCTTTCCCATCCTTTCCCCACCAGACCCAATGTGCCTGTCCTGCCAGGATAACATCAGCAGCCACTTACTGAATATTTGAACAGGCCAGGCACTTTGCTTACACTGTCTCAAATCTCCAAAACCACCAGCTGTGCATACACCATTTTGCAGACTAAGAAACAGAAAAGTGAAGTTAGTGTCCCCGGGGTGAGAAGAGAAGCAGAGATTTGAACTCGTGTCTGTTTGATGCTCAGACCTGTGCTCTCTCTACTGCCTTTGCTCACAGGCAGACCCACAAGATGGGACAGTGTGCGGCAGAAAGAATGGATGTGCTATGACCATAATGACCTCTGGAAGCCCCGCAGTCCGCTACGAGAAGGACCAAGAGCTCTAGAGGACTTGCAGATGACAGCTACTCAGAAACATGGACACATTCTCTTTCATAGGAAAAAGGAGAGAGAAGAGAATCAGATGAGCTTTTCTGAATCATTATGGTCAGTGGAATAAATACACAACCATCCCCCTTGTTATCTCTGTAAGAACAATGCAGGAAGGGTAGGGCCTAAGCTGAAAGCAAAGTTCCTGGCACACAGCAGGAGGGACTCAGTACACGGACAGTTTTTTTTGGATGGAGAACTGTGATCTATACAGACTTTGCTTTTTAGAGCTTATCATGTTTGGTTGGGGTTTGGCAAAAGCAAACTCTACTCAGAACATCCCTAGTGTTTTCCAGGCGTGTGCTTGTCATCTTTCTCTGCACTCTGGCTTCACAACCCTCAATCTCTGAGGTTGTCTGTCCATAGCTCCTCCTGGATGGTCCCCTCCCCTCTGGTTGGTCCCCTTTTGTTCCCACACGTGAAGCTTTTGTGTATAACAATCACCAGTAAAGATGCAGAGAACACAGACGGGGACTACACAGCTCAGAAGAGAAGCACAGGTCCACAGGACTGCTCTCTGCAGAAGGTTTCTTGCTAGGATTTGTTTATTTATTTAGAGACAGAGTCTCTGTTGCCTTGGATAGAGTGCTATGGCATCATAGTTCACAGCAAACGTGAACTCTTGGGCTCGGGTGATCCCCTGGCCTCAGCCTCCTGAGTTATCTGGGACTACAGGCACCTACAACCATGCCCGGCTAGGTTTTTCTATTTTTTGTAGAGACAGGGTTTCTCTCTCCTGCTCAGGCTGGTCTCAAACTCCTGAATCCACCTGTCTTGGCCTCCCAGAGTGCCAGGATTATAGGCATGAGCACCCTTGTTAGAATTTCTTATTTGTCATCTCTCTCTTGTTAAGTCTTGGCTTGGTGGATCTGGTCTTTTCTTAAGTTTTAGGTTTTTGGTGAACACACAGGCTGGCCCACTACATGTTGACTAAACCAGCCCTATCTTTCATAAACTTAAGGGCCATTGGTACCACTCTTTAAAGAGCCCTTTATTTATTTTTTAAATTTATTTTTATTTCAAAATAGCTCTGAGTCCTATAATTGGTAGTTCCACCAGCTGGCAGAAGCTTTTCTTTCCCTCTCTCCCCTCCTCCCTCTCCTCTTCCTTTCCTCCCTCTCCTCCCCCCTCTCCTCCCCCTCCCCCC